AATGTCATTATATTCAACGACGTTACTAAGTTTGAGGTGAGTAGGCTTCATGAATGAGAGTTCTAGTTACCTTAGGTTGCATTAGGTGATAAAGGACACAAATTCGAATTTTTCCATAATCATATGAATAGGTCACATTATGAAAATTCTTTTAATTCATGTAAGTAATTATTAGTGTTCTTAATAATTTGTAAGGCCTACATGTTTTGTAGGCCCCAAACGACCTAGGATAAATTGGTTTTATTAAGGAACAGATAGTTTCGATAATAATATCAATAATAATAATAATAATAATAATAATAATAGTAATAATGATAATAATGATATAAATGAATAATTTTATAGTTTGTATAAATAAAGCCAATCTTTCGAGGTATTCACATCAAAAATGTTCCCTAAAAGCTGAAATGACTCACATTTATTGCCCATCTGCCTTTACTCGCCTCTAAGGGGTTGGTGAAAACTTTAAACTTGATGAGTCCAGTGATATTTTTGTCATTAGACGTTCTATTTTGCTGTATATTTTTGACAAAAGGGATTAGTAGGTTTACTTCACTGGGGCTAGAAAGAGGTTGGTCTTGGAGTTGCATGAAGCTGGGTCAAAATCCTTTCTGGTGAAATAACGAAAAAATGCTGGCAGTTAGGAGAATACCGCAGATAGACAAGAGTTTGATTAATTAGTCTGAAGACTAATCTGGGCCCTAGCTAACTTTGCGAAGAAAAGTTGTAAACTTTGGCAGAAATAGGCAAAATAGCTCAAGCGTAGGCTCAGCACTGATTCATCGGGGTCGCAGGGCAGTGAAACTATAGCTTCTTCGGTCAATCTCTCTTTCCACCTCCAAAATGATGTGCCTTTAGTTTCACGTTTTGGAACTTCATGTCTACATACTGCAGACAATATATATCTAATTCTAGTACCACCAATCTCATCATCAGCCTGGTTTATGATAAATGTGGGGGATTGCCACCGTCCTTCAGTCCTAGTTTAGAGCTTTTACTAAATTTTTTTAGGAATGAGTTCTCGTTCTGACAGTCTGTCATAGTGGAAAAATCTTGAAGTCATCTTGGCGCTTTAAAGTTCAAGACCACTACGCTCAAATTGGCGACCATAATCCTTATAAAAAAGAGTTCTTTCGAGTCAGTATATCATACGAAACCAAAGGTCTATTAAATTTTTTTCTACGAGCGAGATGACTCAACTGATATTCTCTAATTAGGGTCACACTTTGAGCACTTATTCTCAGAAGGATTTTCATTTCAGCCGAACGACTTTTCGACGCTGGCTAATCGTAGTTCTCAATCTCTATGGCTCAAAAAGAAAGGTCATTAAACTTTGATGACCTTAAGACAGATGTTTTTGCTCTGTCCTGATTACACGGGATTGTCACTTTGTTTTCGTATCTTTGCACATGCGTACACAGACACACACACACACAAAGATGTATAACATTACTGAAAGATATTGTTTTATGAGTATATTCGGCAAAAAATATACATTTTTAATTTCTTGACTTATTATAAGGTCGAGAATTTAATGAGGATTCGTTCCTGCTCTGCTGATGTCTGTCAAGTAGAATGATAGACAAAAAGATATTTTAATTAAAGCCAAGGTGGACTGGGCAAACCTTAACGCTTTCGTAAGATCAAACAAGTGCAGGGCAATGGGAATCGAGCGTCGCCTACAGATCTCTTTATTTCACACCTTCACTCTGAATGAATGTCAACTCAACATTGATATTCTAAACACATTTCCTCTTTATATATGTATTATTTCATATATCCATCTTCATATAGGGCTAATCTTATAACGTTTACTCTGAGGTATTTCGATACTTAATTGGCTTATTTGTTGCCCTACTAGCAATCTATTGAATGAAGCCGATTTTGCTACGACCGAGCATCGGTCTCCCTTTATAAATAACCTAGAGTCTATTCCTGCCTTCTTAATATAGCTTTGTATGTGTTGTTTCACCTGTGTTGTATGCATGTGGTGCTTATGTGTCAATTGGATCGCTAGAGTTTTAAGCAGACTACTGAATTTAATTGTTACAGTTGTTCCTTACATTAAATCCTAAATCCTCCTCTTGGGTGTAAAGTCTTCATATCAGGAAAAGCGGAGACTTTTACATCCTTGCATATGTACTGTATTGGGCCTATACTCAACTTGCGCTGATTTCTGTATCCATAACCCTTTTCAGGTATATTTTTGCTCTGGTTACCTCTCATATGTGGGTCGGCGAGACCATCCATCCTGCTCTCATGAAATCTGTGATAGGAGGTTAGGCGTAAGCCAGGGATTCCAATCCCCAAATCGACCATCGCAATTTCAAGAAAGGCTTCCTTTGGCTTTTGTTGGGGCAATCATTTGAGCATTGAAACTATCACTGACTGTCGATACTCACCATTACTTCTGGCTACTTTTCCTATATTTTATCCTTTTAGGAGGTGTTCTTGCTCACGCCTATTATCCTACTCCGGATAACGTCTACTCTTTTTCCGGTGACGCCCACTTTGATGGGGACGAAGACTGGAATGACGGGCCACATAAAGGTAGGATTTTCGTGCCAAGAATGGCCATTATTAATTTAGTCTGCTGTATAAACCCTTACTGGTATGCAAACTAAGAAAAAATTTGACAATCATATGGTCCAACTTCACTTTTAATATGCCTCTCCTTCCTCTTACTTCATTTCATTTTATATTTTATTAGTCTTTTTCTGTTCTGAAATTCATGTTTTATGAGATGTATTCACCCTATTTTGTTTAAGGTGACGAAGGGCTGGTAGTTGAATTTTACCACATTGATATGATAAGAGCTAACGCTTCCATTGAATTTCACATAACCTTGCTTTCCCAAAAGGTGTTCCCATCCAGACAGAAGTGGACTGCAGTTTCGACCTAGCCTATGACTTATCAACACCCCTAGGGGAACTCGAACCATGACAGTACAGCGTGTAAGCTTGACACATTAACCACTCAGCTACATTTCCACGAATGCACTTGGGTCACAGGGCTTTGACTGATGATACTATTCCACACGATACAAAACTTGTAGCAAAAGTCTCCCTCATGCAGCTAGTTACGTCTTGTTACTTCTTTAGATATAGACTTTTGCGAGATGGCCACATAAAAGTATCGTATTGAAGCCGTTGTCAAGACAACATAGGAATGAGAGAAACCCAATATCATCGAACGAGATAGAGCTAAGTCAACTGACATGACGCAAATACGACGATTGCCAAGAAAAGTTGAATAAAGCAACATATCAAATGAGGACAAGCCAGTATCAGGCTGGGTTCCAACTATGCAAACAAATAAGCCATTTAATAATTCATACAATCCCTAAAACCTGGGATATTGGGATGTATGCCTTATTCAGGTGATTCAACATTTTATCATTGAAATAAAGGCAAAAAAGAACGACGACGTTCCCTCATCTGCCATAAGCATGTGAGACAAAACGTAACTCGCTTTTTGCAGAATATCAGCTTATTGGGTCCTGAAATTTAGGTAGAGTGGTATTTCCGATCCATAGAACGCGCCAAAAAGAACAGAATATAGTTCTTTTCACGAGATTTCTGACGTAGTAAAGTGTTCCAGACAACTCGGTCGCATCCATGATACAACTGAAAATTTGGCTGCCTCAAATCTTCACCGGCCTGGTTTTGAGAAAACCGATCTTCAAGAAAAGTGCTGTTACGACGCCTCTTTGGCCAGGAAATAAACTACAGGATATAGCAGATGGATGAAAAAAGCAGATGTATATTCTTGAGTACTGAGAGGATCTTTAGAAGAGTTGAATATTTAAGTCGAAAAATATAATGTGGTGAGACTTTATTTCATGCCATCGTGTCCTAGTGCTTAGGCATTTCTCCAGAAATAGCATATAGTCAACTTCTTTCAGCTAAAGCCCAAATAGCAAACTAGATTTGATGCTACTGACCAAAGGCGACGAAGCATTTTAGCACTTGCTAGAGTTTGATTTTTAAAACTTCT